CCTGTCCTTATGTTGAAGTCTTTTTTTTTTTTTTTTGAGACAGGATCTCATGTAATCTTGAACTCACTATGTATCCAAAGATGAGGTGACCTTGAACCCCTGATATTTCTGCCTCTACTTGGGACTATAGGCATGTAGGACCATGCCGGACTTATACAGAGCTGTGACTCACATCCAGGACTTCCTGCTTGCATGGTAAACACTTCATCCACGGAGTCATCCCCCAGTCATTGTCAACTTAACTAGATTTAGAATCACAATGGGGGCACAGCACGAGGCATAGCTATGAGGTTGTTTCTAGAAAGGTTTAATGGAGGAGGGAGGTTTACCCTGAATGTGGCAGCACACCCCATGGGCTGGGGTCTTGGGCTAAATAACAAGGAGAAAGCCATGCTCTTTCTGCTGTAGCATGGATTCTAATTGGTCTTAATAAAAAAAAAAAAAACCCAGAGTCAGATATTGGGGTAAAAGCTGAAAGATCAGAGAAGCAGAGCAGCCAGCCACTGGAGAGCCTTCTCACCTCTAAGAATCCTTAGACGGAAAAGAGGGCTGAGCTCCTCTGTCTCCTCCTACCTTGTATTACTGTCTCCACCTCCCTTGTGCTGGGATTAAAGGCGTGAGCTTCCACCACCTGGCTCAGTTTCTCTTTCAGATTGGATCAATCTCGTGTCGCTCAGGGTGCCCTTGAACTCCTGGTCTTCCTGCTTCCTCCTCCTAAGTGCTGGGATTAAAGGTGTGTGCCACCACTGCCTGGCTTCCATGGTTAACTAGTGGCTAGCTCCGCACTCTGATCTCCAGGCAAGCTTTATTTGTTAGTGCGCAAACAAAATATTACCACACTCTTGCTTCTTGACTGTGAATGCAATATAGCTAGTTGCCCTCTCCTGCCTCCATGTCTTCCACCCAAAAATAACTTTGCTCAAACTGTAAGCGAAAATAAACCCTTACATTGCCATTGCTGCTATATCAATGAGAAAAGCAACTAGATTCTTACTCAACTGCAAGGTCAAAAGCGCATCTGCTGTTGGGCTCAGGACAGTTCCTCAAGTGATGCAGAGGCTGCTTACCCCATGGACCATTTCTGGAACTGCAAAGATCCAGAGCCGTGAGTATCACCATGTGGTCCAGACCCAGCAGCATCAACATCTCAGGGGATTTGTTAGAAATACCACTCGTTGGACCCCACCCCAGAGCAAGGATGTAAGCAACTGTGGTCCACATTGCCGTTGGAGGACACGCTAATGCAAGCATCACTGATTTGAAAGAACTTCCTTTTAGAAACAGCCTGCCACTTGCCTCGGGAAGTCTTCCTGGACACTTTTCTAAAAACTGGTCTTTTCTAAAAACTCTCTGTTTATTCTATTATGCATTCAGATCTGCACACTGCAGTTTGAAAATTACCTGCTTGAGGAGACACCACGTGTATTCTCAGCAGGACCTGGGACCAAGCATGGTGATGATGGTGTCTTCTTTTCACTCACTCCTTGTTTACTAAGCACCGGCTCTTCAGCATGAGACCTGTCCTGATTTCTGTGGAAGAATGTCATGTACCCTGTCCCTCTATTCACATAGGGACAGAAGGTGGGCTGGGGGTGAATCAGCTCTTCTCTTCTCCTCTCTTTCCCCCTGACCCCGCTCCCCTTCCTTCTGTGCTAGCTAATCTTGGATGTCCACTTGACTGGATAATCAACTAAAATAAAAGCTGTGGGGCACTCAAGTGAGGGATTTTCTTAGCCAGATTATTTGAAGGACGAAGACCCACCCTAAACATGGCCTGCACCTCTGGTGGCAGCCCAGATAAAAGGACATGAAAGAAGGCTACAGGTTTCCCCCTGTTTGCCCTTATCCTTGCTGGCAACTAAATTCTCCTGTTCCTTTAGTATAGCTGGAGAGTTTCTCTCTGGGTCCCACCAAGCCCCCGCAGTTCCGCAGCCCACTTATAAAATAATCACTCAGATGCTTATATTACTTATAAACTGTATGGCCGTGGCAGGCTTCTTGTTATCTACTTCTATCTTAAATTAACCCATTTCTATTAATCTATACCTTGCCACGTGGCTTGTGGCTTACCGGTATCTTACATCATGCTTCTCATCACGGCGGCTGGCAGCATCTCTCTGCCTCAGCCTTCCCCTTCCCAGAATTCCCCTCTCTCCTCCTACCTATACGTCCTGCCCGGCTACTGGCCGGCCAGTCAGCACTTTATTTATCAATCAATCATCCACAGCACTTTGGCAATATTAGAACCAACGCCTTTGGACTTCCAGCATGCATCGAAGTTCAGCAGCTCTCCAGGAATCTTCCAGGCCTCCAGCACCAGACTGAGACTGCTGAGACCTCCAGCCTCATGGACTGAGCACCTACTGGATTCTTGGACTCTCCAGTGTGGGACAGCCATTGTTGGACTTCCTGGACTATGTCTTGTATGCTGATCTAACAAATTCTCTTTAGTATATATCCACTATACCAGATTTGTTTTTTTTTTTTTTAAGGAACCCTAACTAAGACCCTTCCCTTCCCTCTCCTTTCTTCTCTTCCTTTTCTTCCCCTTTGCTTTTCTCCTCCCCACCTTGGTGGATAGACAGAGGAAACTCTCCTGGGGTGTGCTTTGATGTGTTATGTCTAGGTTATGCAGGAGTTCACCGGGTAAATGGCAGGAAGCCTTTCTATGCCATGGATGGTGCACAAAACCACAAAGCATTCATCAGTGACAGCAAGTGAGCTGGAGCTGGAAAGGAGTATGGCGATAAATTGTGGCGGGCATTTTGCACAAAGCTGGGCTTTGGGTGCCCACATCTTTTAAGCATCAGGGTGATTCCATTAGTGATTCCGTGAGCAGTCTATAGGACCTCCTGGAAGAGAGAAAACTTGGTGTCTATGTCCTGAACCCTCAGTGACTTTGAAATGAAAGTTTCCTATCGACAGCCATGCTGGAGGGTGTGCTTTTGTTATGTGTGGGGTTGGTCAGTACCAACCACTGAATCATCTTGCAGGAGTGATGCTTTCCCATGATGGTAGCACATGACCATGGCCTTACTTCCGACATGGCATCCGAAGGCCATCAGCACAGAAATGCAACACAAAAGCAACAAGGGTCTGAGGCCAGACTGAGCATCCCTGACTCCACTTTCTTTCTTTTCTTTTTTTTTTTTTTTTTTTTTTGGTTTTTCGAGACAGGGTTTCTCTGTGTAGCTTTGCGCCTTTCCTGGAACTCGCTTTGGAGACCAGGCTGGCCTCGAACTCACAGAGATCCGCCTGGCTCTGCCTCCCGAGTGCTGGGATTAAAGGCGTGCGCCACCACCGCCCGGCTTCTTTCTTTTCTTTTCTCCCTCCCCCCCGCCCCCCGAGACAGAGTTTCTCTTTGTAACGGATATGGCTGGCCTCGAACTCACTGAGATCCGCCTGCCTCTGGCTTCCAAGTGCTGGAATTTAAGGCGTGAGCCACCATTGCCTGGCTCTGACTCCACTTTCAAGGGCACCCCAGAAGAGCATAAAGGTAGCGTTTTAGTTCCAGAGCACAAGGATGTTGCTCAGACTTCCAGCTAGCCTCTGTATAAGCTCTGCAGAAGGCAAGGCTTAGCTGGTGTTTCCCAGAAACCTCTTTGACCAAGAGTATTTCCTTAGATCTCCAAGTTGGGTTTTGGGGTATGCACAATGGTTCACTGTGTACTTATTATAGTATGCATGAGACCCCGGGTTCCATGATCTGACACAAGAAGAGTTAATCTAGGGGTTTTTTCCCTAGCTAAAAGGATGAATTGCATTAATGCCATTTGGGGAGGTGAAACAGGAAGTATAATAAGGCTGGGAAGACACTGTCATGAAAGTGCTGACCAGCACATGTGAGGGCTCTATTTCCATCCCCAGTGCCCATGTAAAAATGCAGGTATGATGAGGATTGTGTGTAAAATCAGTGCTGAGGAGGTGAAGACAGAAGATATCTGGCCAGCCTAGCCCAATGGGTGAGCCCCAGGTTTCAGTGAGTGACTCTTGTCTCAAAAAATAAGGTGTACAGCTCCTGGGAAATAATTTCTGGCCTCCACAAGTAACCAAGCAAGTGTATACACACACGCGCGCGCGCGCGCGCGCGCGCACACACACACACACACACACACACACACACACACACACACGGTAGAGGGGTTGGCTTGGTCCTGAAGCAATGAAAATAGCACCTGGAAGAACACTGCAAAGTAGAGGCGAGGCAGCAAAAGGCCCATGCCATGGGAAAGAGAAGCTGATGGAAACAGCGAAGTGGACCAAATGGGCAGACAGAGCAGGACTGCTTGAGTGGGCCTCTGCAAAGCCCAGCCCCTCTGGGCTGCAGCCCCGCTCTAGCTTGTTCAGAGGGCACGAGGATGGTCTCCTGTGAACCACTGCAAAGCTCTAGAAGAGAACTTCACAGGCGTGGCTGACCCAGCGGCAGTGGACGCTGCTGAAGCCCAGGGGCAACGAATGTTTTGAGAAACAAAGTGGGATTCAAAACCATTTCGGATAAGGTATGGGTTGACTTCAGTCGTCAGAAACCCAAGCCAGAGAAATCTGAGACTGACCAAAGCCAGAGAGAAATCTGAGACTGACCAAAGCGAAAACCCATGCTGCCGGTGTCAAGCCCAGAAGTCATGGTTCAAAGGGCAAGCAAGATCAGAGAATTGAGAAAGGTTTGAGGACAGCTCCGTGGGTAAATCGTTTGCTGCACAAGCCTGAGGAGCTGAGTTCGGATGCCAGAGACCATGTAAGGGTTGGGTGTGTGGGAAGTCGCAGCAATCCTATTGCTGTGAGGTGAAGACAAAAAAGGCAAAAAGGGAAGCCCGGTGTTCATTGTGAGACCCTGTCTCAAGAAAGAAGGTGGAGTGCAATCGAGGAAGATTCCTCTTGCCTCTAGGGGCCAGCGGAGAAGAGACAGAAATATCTGCAAAGGAAGTTAAGATCTGCTGCAGGGTCTGTGCGAGGAGGAGCGACCCCGTGGACCGCAGCAGCTCCTAAGAGCCACAGCTCACCTGCCGGTACGGGTTTTGCAGATTCGGCACCTTGCTCTGCAGAGGGCTGCAGGGAGCAGCAGCCTGGCCTCAGCTGTCACCCACAAGTGACCGGACGACGTCCGCAGGGGCGGCCGAGGAGGCCAAGCCTGGAACTACACTTCCCAGTGTGCCAGGCGGGCGGGGCGCGGCGGGGAGGGCGCAGGCTCCTTCCCAGCAGCGAAGGCGGAAACAAAAGAGCCCGGCGCCGCCGCCCGCACACTCGCGCACCGCGCCCGGGCGCACACGGAGCAGCCCCGCGAGGCGGCAGCCCGGGACACGCGGACCCGCCGCAGCCCCCGCCGCCTGCCCCATGGCGCTGAAGCGGATCCAGAAAGTGAGTGGCGGCCAGGGCCGACCCGGGCGTCCCCGAGGGGTCCCTAGGAGTCCCGGGCGCACGGCGTGGGAGGGGCGTGGGCATTGGGGAGGCCGGGGTGCCGATCGGCCCCGCACAGGTGAGGCGTGCACTCGCAAGGTCCAGGTGCCTGGAATCCGGGGCGCCCCGATCCCGCCGTGCCCTCTCCGGACTGAGCCCAGAGCCCTGGGTGTGGGTGCCGGTGGGGTGGCCAGATTGTCCCGGGGTGTGTGCATCCCCGCTGGGCCGGTGCTTGCCCCGCAATGGGCGGCCTGCGTCCCCTATCACGCTGTGCGTCCTCACAGTGTCCCCGGAGCCCTCCTTCTTATGCTCGCACTCCGGGCTCCCCGGGAGGACAGGGAAGGTGTGGTGGGCCTACGGCCTTTATTCTCAGAGCGTGGGGCTGGGTCTTTCTCGGCTCTGCAGTTGGCTGGTGCTCAGTGGGAGGAAAGAGCTGGGAAAGCGAGACTGGGACCGAGGAGCCAGCAGAAAGCTCTTGCCCTTGCTATTTTGGTGGCTCTGCATGCAGCTGCCACTTCAGGTCACATAGCTGTACTGAGAACATAGTTGCTGATACACAGCAAGATGACCTCCTGGCTGTGATTCATGGAGAGGCAAGCCAAGCAGGTTGCTTTTTTTTTTTTTTTTTTTAAACACCCTCATGATAAACTCACATGTAGAGTTGAAGACACAACAGTAAGGACCACAAATTAAATTGTTTGGATGCTTTGACGCATGAGTAGAGAATGAGGAAGAAATACAAACGGTCAGTCAACACACACGATCCATCCCAACGCTCTCTTTGTATTCTTTACCGCACCCATTTCTCCTGTTGGCTTGTCCCCTTACTCAAGTCTTAACATTTTCAGCTTTAGTCCTTGCCGGGAACATGGTGTTTGGGAGCGCTTTGGAAGCAACTGCGCCAACAGTGGATAATGTGTTTGGTAATTGATTTCACAAGAAATGGATGGCTCCCCAAACATTTTATCAACCTTTCCAGCTACACTTCACTACAAATGTTTTGAGTGTAGAGCAGTATTAGACAGGCATCTTTCGGTACAGAGGACAGCAACTTTTACACCCAGCCAAATCTGGGGTTCTTTTTTTTTTTTTGACGCAAACATTAGCTGTGTAGATCGTTGCCATTCTTTGTACCATTGAAGGTCAGCTCACTATAAAATGTAAAATCAGCATTTATTAAGTAATGACGTTGTCTCTTTTTAAGATAACACGGTTGCGTTTTCTTTTTAACCATATAAACCAACAGAATTTTGAAGGTGCGGTCATGATCACCACCATGCGGACTTCTGAACGCTTACTGTAATGTTGGCTCCCGTTTGGATCAGACAACACACATTTTTCCCAGGGAAGTTTTCAAACTTTGCTTCCTTTCACAATGGTGAGGCATTTCCATGTGGCTTCACACATAGTAGCTCTTAGATGCCACAGCATTTATCTATAGAATATCCATTCAGAAAAACAAAACATTATACGTTACTATAAGTGCAGGCTTGACAAGCCTCGTCCGTCAATGCTAAGCCCATGTGTTTGACTTAGTATGGCAAATGCCCACATCTTTTTTTTTTTTGTTGTTCTTTTCTTTTTTCTTTTTTTAGTAGATGTTGTTGAACAGAGTACGGACACAGTTGTCCATTACAAAGGTAACAGTTAAGTACGACTGATGTCAGACCTATGACACACTGATATTTTGGAGAAGACATTGGAGGTCACATGATACTATGTTTCAGTACCAGACTTTGGCTTCCCTTCCTGTCATCAGGCATTGACTGCCACACATCAGATCAGTCATACTTGCCAGCCAACCCTTCAAAACCACCTGATTCTACCATCCTCCTCCTTCCTCACCTGCCATCTTGCCGAGAACCAAGCCCAGGCTGAGCAGGCTGCCTGATGATCAGCTACAAAGCTCCCTGATACCCTCAGTGTTCAGATTTTTATTTGAATCTTGTTTATTCTAACAAAGGGAGTTCAATGCTAACCTCTGAGCTTAAAAAAAAAAAAAAGATTTATTTTTATATGTGTGTTTGTGAGTACATGCCACATGTGTATGGGTGCCCACAGAGGCCAGAAGAGGACATCTGGTCCCCTGATGCTAGAGCCACAGGCACGGTTGTCAGCTCTCTGATGTGGGTGCTGGGAATTGAACTTGGGTCCTCTTAACTGCTGAGCCATCTCTCCAACCCCTGGCCTTCTTTTTTGAATATATTTTAAAGTAACCAGATAACTTCAGGCCATTGGGTTACACTGTTTCTTTTCCTAATGTATCAGGTCTTGGATCTCAGAAACCCAGGTTTGCAGTGGCGTAGCCAAGAGTACAGGCAGGGGGACAGTCCCTTAGGGCAGGGGCAGTCACTGCAGACCCCACTGCCCCCAGTGGGAAGATGCTGAATCTCAATGTTGAGTTGGGGGGTCAGCGTAGAAAGGTCCAAAGCCCTGATGTCCTAGTCCATTCTCTTTATCTAAAGAGGGAACCCGAGGCTGGAGCTGAGATGGGTTTTACCCAGGGTTAATCTCTTGAGAAGTGATTTGGCACGTTTGAGAACAATGTTCACAGCTTCTCATTTCTCCACCTGTGAAAAGAACAAAGATGTTGGATTAAAATTGTGCCTTTATACAAAGCATGTGGACATCAGCGCTTCAAATGTATCTCTGTGCCAGAGTAGACTAAATGATTTAATGCTCCAATTTAGACACTCTGCGCCAGTTTTGCATTTCAGCTCATAAATTTACACACCCGTGGCCTATTTTTAGATGTAGAGAAAGATGTTATTACAGTCACCTAAATCACTGAAGGAATAAAGTTTGAACAAAATCTGAGGCCAGAAGCCCAAAGCAGATCTGAAAAAAAGAGAGCAGCTTTCGTTTGGCTGTCTGTCTATTGTTAGTTGTTTTCTAGGTGTTTCTTCTGTGAATACTGTTTTTTAGTCTTCAGTACACTTTGCTTTGAAAAATCGCTGTTTAAACGATCAGTGTTCTGCTATAATACTGAGCACTTGGAAACCCAGGGGAGAAAGGAACCCCCATGCAGCGTCATCCACATCTTTGTCTCTTTCCCTTTGGGCTTATTTCCCACAAGGAAATTTAGGTAATAATCACACCGGATGGTATGTGCTAGACCTCGGCCTTTTTTTGTCTGTTTTCTGAAGAGTGAAACAAAAGGCTTTTCTTTCATAAATATCGCAGCACAGATAATTATCCGTTCAGCGTTCTGTCCCAAAATGAAACATTTGGGGCTGGGGAGTATGGCGCAGTGCTAAAACACACACCTACTGCTTTCAGAGCCCTGGGTTCAACGGCCAGCACCACAGGAACAAGTAAGTTGCATTTGGTTCCAAAAATTGAACGCTGGGCGTTTTAGTAATTAATCTAAATTGTGTGCATGAACATAAAATTAAAATGTAGTTTTGTAAATGTTTTGAGCTGCTCGGACTTCGATTTGTGCGATTCTAAGTCACAGTGTTTGTGCAAACATGGTATCTTCAGCAGCTTGAACCTCTGTGTCTGGGTCACCATCCAGGGAAAGAGGATGTAGCTTTTGTTCCTGGCTCTGTGGCTTACCGACTTCTGTCTCCAAGAATGACAGCCACCACCGTGTGTGGAGGTCGCTCTGCCTAACTGAATGCCAAGAGCTTAACCTGCCTGAGTTGCCCGCGTCATTCCTGAGGCCCTGGAGCTAGAAACAATCTAATTCCCACTCTGCAGATGATGAAACCGAGGCTCAGAGATGTTCACCGGGGTATGCAGGATCGCATATCTGACCTATGGAAATGGCTAGGATTCCAAGTCCTCTCCGCAGTGGCAGGCGTCTTCCATCATATGGACCTTTATGTTGTTTTTCTAAACTAAGAGACACGGAGTCAAGGGTCTGGGACTTTAGCTCATTGGTAAAGTGCTCACCTGACACCCATACATCCTTGGCGTGGTGGCTCACACCTGTGATCCTAGCACTTAAGAGGTAGAGATGGGTAGGATCGGTTCAAGGGTCATCCTCACAGTACTGGGTTGGAGGCCACCCTAGGCTGTACGAGACCCAATCCCAAAAACAAACACAGAAGAGGAAAGATACAGAGGCAGGTGAGTTTATAGAGACCAGTGCTTAGCGATATGATGCTAATCACCCATGCAATTAGGGCTCTGCCTGCTTAATCACCACCACAGCTCAGCTGTGAGGGATGCTCAGTCACCCTTCTCCTCAGAGATGACCCTCATCCCTAAACACTGGAGAATAGCAGCTTCCTTCTTCTCCCCCATGCCACCGGAAACGCTGACGCCTCCAACAAAAGGGTTCAGAAAAACAATTGCTTGTAGTTCTTTAAATCTTCTGTTGGTATCATTTCCCTGTGGAATTTTCATGACATCACTGTGAAGTGGTCCAGTTGTTTCAGTGCCTGTCATGGCTTTGCGTAGTAAACTATTCACATTGTGAGATTACATGCAGGACGACAGAAGGAGGGTCATAGCCTAAAAGAAAACATGAGAAGCCGGGTAGCTCTTATCATTTGTGGACGAACAGTTTGCCTTTCTCAGGGAAGCCACAGTGGGGATTTTCCTGCCCCTAAGGCTCTGTAGTTAAACTCGGTTTTTGCCCCAGTCTGTACTCTTCCTTCTTTAACATAATAAAGGTGCAAGAAGATGAGAATAGTTTATTGTAGCCGAAAAGTCCTGAGGAAATGAGTAGCGTAGACCTCGACGAGACTGTTGA